ATAAACGAAAAACGATCGTAAGTGGCAGAAAACGCAGAATTAAGAGTCAGAAATGTTTATAATCGATTTTTTATATTATTTAAGACCATATTAAGTACAATCTTAAGATGTCATAAGCCAATATTAGCATCTTGAGACATTACTTAAGATAACCTTGTAATAAGAACGGATTATGAATACCAGCCAGAGTTAAGAAAGTGCGAAATCTTAGCATTCTTTGCATAAATTTCTATTCTCAGCACTGTTTGATTTTCTTTTGATTGGAAGTGTAACCGTATACATTTAGTTGTAAATAATTACAACTTTAATAATTGTCTTTAAAAGTGAAAAACTCTCTATGAGAATGTTTAATTACAAGTATGTCTGCTAACTTTTTTCTTTTAGCATTGTGGATTTTTGATTAAATTAACTTAAAAAATCTATGTTGTATAGTTTTGTTCTATATCTACGTCAAGTAATAAGTGAGTGCGTGAGTAATTAAAAGAGTGAATGGGTATAAGAATAATAGAGAAAGGAGGGAGAGAGAGAGAGAGAGAGAATATCTGTTGACGTATTATTTTCATGTAAAAAAAATAATATATATTTCGTGTATATTATACATAAATGGTGTGATAAAATTTATACATATATGGTGTGATAAAATTGTAAGTAAAAATATTTCAATATTGTACTGATTAACTATTCAGTAATTGATAATATTTCATCCAGTACTGGTGAAATATCATCGGTTAATGAATAGTTAATCATCAGTATATTGAAATATTTTTTCTTTCCCAAAAAGAAAATATATATACAAAATTTGTTAGATTCAAAATAATATGACGTATCGATATTCAACAAAAGAATTTTTAAAAAACAATATCTCATATATATACACATTACTATATAATATATTTAGTGTATGTGTGCAGAGAGATGCATATATACATCAAAATAAAAATTATTCAAAATAAAAAAAATACAAAAAGCATATCAAAATAAAAAAGCATACATTTAGTGACATCTGTAGGAATTTGTAAGGTTATCAACAATTGATATTTCAGATAGACGCGATTCCTAGTAGCTTTCTTCATGCATAGATGTCGCTAACCTACAAAACCACCTTGCGCATATGTTTATTGTTTATAGTTCACACATGTTTCGGAGTTTTTTGGACTGCCTTAGACTTGAACGATTACAAATTGTATTGATAAAATATGTTAATATTAGTTTATATCATATTTTTGACAATTTTCGCTGGTCATCTGTGTGAAGAACAATTTTGTTCAGCAGATAATGAGATAAAATCCTGTAAAGAAAATGAGATTGCTCACCAAAATTCATTGTATACGAAAGGTATTGTTTATTAGAAATTAATTGTAATAATTATGTAATATATGATACGATATGATGTGATATTATACATACACATTATAAAATTCCCGATATATGTCATCTTTTCTATTTCTAGAAATAAATGAAAGATACAAGAAATATCTAGTGGCGATTCAAAATGCAGAGCAAAATTACAAAGAATGTAATAACACAAAGCATAAGTGCTATAAAGATGCAATTGTACGAGACCTAAAGCCATTTAAAAAGAAGGGCATAAGCAAAGAAATGATTGAAGCTGCTAAAACTAGGTATCTGTGATATATCACATAAATCAGTGATTTAGACCTGGTTTTATTAATATAAGATTAACTTTAATTTTTCGATTTAACTTAAATATTTATCTTTTTCTCTAATTTATAGAATCAGAAGAAGATAAAAAGTAAATTTATAAATCAAGATTATGTTGGAATCAAACTTTAGTGGACCTGTTTTTTTTTGTATTAGACTAGAACTTTCATCTTTGTTTTAATCAAATATTGTACTTATACCTATTTTATTTTAAGTTCCAAAAGTATACACTACTTTAGTTACAGAAAACAGGTTCAATATTAGTAGTATCTTTTTGCTCTTTTCAATTAAATTTTCTAAATTTTACACACAGGGGTACATTTTATCAAATAATCAAAGGTAAACTGTACAGAGAGAAAGACTGCATGTTTCCAGCCAGATGTGCTGGAATTGAACATTTTTTATTAAAAGTAATTGGTAATTTATCCGATATGGATTTAGTTATAAATACTAGAGATTATCCTCAATCTAGCGAATATTTTGGAAATGCCATACCTGTTTTTTCATTTAGTAAGGTGAGAGATAATTCTTATCTATTCAAAGATTTTTATAACAAGATTTATGGCTTATAGGATATATTTATACAATTATGTTCTGTTTGTTGAAATTAATAAGAGCTTTGCAGCTTGCAAAATGTATTTATAGACACCACAATATTATGATATTATGTATCCAGCATGGGCATTTTGGGAAGGTGGTCCAGCTATCTCATTATATCCCCGTGGTCTTGGCAGATGGGATCAACACCGTAAAACTTTGAATAAGGCGAGTTTGGAGATTTTATGGGAAGAGAAAAAAAGTAAAGGATTTTTTCGTGGATCTAGAACAAGTTCAGAACGCGATAATTTAATTTTATTAAGTCGTAATAAACCTCATTTAGTAGACGCTCAATATACTAAGAATCAAGCATGGAAATCTAATGAGGTATCGCATTGTCTTTTAATCACATTAGCAGATTTTATATGTGTAACGTGAAATATACAAGACAAAGTTGAATTTTATTTTAGGACACTTTGCACGCAACACCAGCGTCAGAAGTATCTTTAGAGTCGCATTGTACATACAAATATTTATTCAATTTTCGAGGTGTGGCAGCTTCATTTAGACATAAACATTTATTTTTATGCCGATCACTAGTCTTTCACGTCAGCGACGAGTGGATGGAATTTTATTATCATTCTATGAAATCATGGATTCATTATATACCCGTTCCCAAAAATGCAGATCAAGAAGAGTTGGAGTAAGATATCACATTTAATCTTTCTATAATATTATTAATGTTTGTGCCTTTATCAAACTACCAATCTCTTTGTTTTGATTTATTTTGTTTTATTACTTTTTCAGGGATTTGATTGAATTTGCAAGGAACAATGACGATTTAGCAAAAAAGATTGCTCATCGCGGAAGAGACTTTATATGGAATAATTTACGAATGTCAGACGTTATACATTTTTGGAAACAACTTCTTAAAAGTTACAGTAAACTTCTAACATATAATCCAGTATTAAAAAAAGATCTCATAAATATCAGAAGGGAATTATGATGATTTTGTACAAATAATTAAAGATGAATCTCGTGCGATATCTTCCTGGATAAATAAATAAAAATAAGAGAGAGACGATCAGTGTGTATGCATGTGCGCGTGAGTGTTTTATATAAGCAAAATGCGTATAGCTAATAAATGCAATTGAAAATATGAAATGATTAAAATAAACATATATATTTATTAATATTATTTATATGACAATGAAAAATATAATACAATAGAGATTTTGTTTAAGGCACGACAAAATAGCGTGGCAAGTTTCAATATGAATTATTAATATCCTAATCAGTAATACAAAGAAAGGCGTTGCACAATTAAATTTATGTATTAGACGATAATATTCGAGCTGCCTCAAATGATAATCAATAATTTATAATGAGTTTAAAATAAGATCATGTAGTAAAAAAAGTCATTTTTGTATAGAAATTCTCTTATTCAACAAATTGATAAAAAATACAAAGCCTTTCTTCTTATATTCTGATAATACTTAAAGGCTAAGTATAATTTTTAACAATTAAGTACTGGTCAAACATTCGTATTAGACTAAAATACTTTTTGAAATGTAAGAAAATATAGGATACATACAAGTATTAAGACTGTTTTATAACATCTGTTAATACTGAACGAAGACAGTTTTTTTATGTATATAATTTTCCTTGTAGTATCTTCATTTCTATCAAAAGATGGTTGTTATATGTTTTACTAAATGCGTTTAATTAAAGTGCATTTTTATTTTACACAATAGAAATCTAGAAAAGAAAAAGGCACTTTATATAAATAAGAATTGTATAGATACATAAATTCTCACACATACAGCACCATTAATGTCAGATCAGTCTGACAATTTTCACTTACACTCTAAACATATGTATATGTATGTACGCGCGCGCGCGCACACACACACACACACACACACATACACACACACATACATACATTATTGTATATAAAACTGCAAAATAAACAAGCTATCAATGGTAGAAATCGTGAAGAAAGCATTTATATAAAAACAAGGATTCTTTTCAAACATACGCAACGTCGCACAATGGAAATCAAACATTTAGTTTGAAATGATGTATAGAAAAAGTTGCGCTTGAACATATCTGGCATTTACAATTCATTTCAGAGAGTTGTATAAATTACAAAAATACTTTCTAAGGCACTTGCACCATAAGATAACAGTCACTTTAAAATACGCAACGCAGCAACGATGACACTAGTAGTATAGATATTTACATACATATAAAAATGTATTGCGCATGCAAATAAGATTAGATATTTAATGAAAGTAATATATATAGGCTGTAATTGCTTACTGTTACATAAAATATTTTAGAATTTACATTACGTAAGTAGGAGAGTCTAATATTCACATAACACTTTTAATTCAACAAATATTTTTTAATTTCAGTATTGTCAATAAAGAATCTGTTTGTCACGTCGCAATGTCCGAATATCTTTTTACCTCTAGTCAAACGATTGGATCCCAAGGAATTTATAAGTACCTTTGATTTAAAGTCTTTGCGAATGATAGACACGCGAATAAATAGGCAGTGTAGAACATTCTATGTTATGTTACTGCATGTGAAACATTATTGAAAGATATATATATACACACACACACACACACACACACACACACACACACATATATATATATATATATA